AATAATATTCCATATTTACACTGTTTGTTATGTTTGGTATTGGTGAATATCTGTCCCCTGTAACTCAGCTGTGATGTGGCCTTAATGATTCTTTTCCAGGTAAAGAAACCACAGGTAGATCTAACAGGAACATCAATGATAACGCTGATACAGACTCAGGTATTAATGTTCCTTACTAAAACCATTTGTAACACAGGGTGATTCAAAAAGATTCATCTGATTTCAAAATGATTTATTTCACTTGTGAATCATTACAGAACAATGCAGTAAACTGTAAATGGTTTAAATGAGCATAAAGTTTATTATGAAATTTTTCTTTCAGTGTGATTTCGGAGAGCATCCAGTGCTGGTGGGAGTGGCACATAAACAGATTGCTTAATGTACTCCCACAAAAAAGTCACACGGCGTGAGATCTGGTGATGCTGATGACCTTTTTCTTGGAACTGTTAGTACCAACAACAAATGCTCTGAGCTGTTGGAGGTTCTCTATGACCCCTCTTTCAATTGGATTGTGATTGGTTCCTAGGCGCCTCACGGTTGTAAAAATATAGCGCTTCGAAATCGGATTAATCTTTTTGAATCACCCTGTATTTAATATTTCTAATTAACTGTGATGGAAAGTAATAAATTTACTTTTGTTAATGTTACAGTACAGTACATTTTTCCCTGTAACAGTACATTTTGTTGTAGAATTAATTCACAGTGCTTTTACTTAGTTAATTTCTAATAAACTGCTTTTACTTCGGTCATTTATTTTTAATAAACATTACAGTAAATATTGTAGAATAAACATGATTATGATGTTATGAATGTCCTGTGAAATTTACATGTTGGTGTTGCTAACAGAAAAATATCTTTTTGTGAAAATATGACGTTCATGCTTTTTTTCCCCATTGATAGCTGAGTGTCTATCAAGCCACTGGGTCGTGACTCCTAGCGAGTCGCAGAAAGATGTCATACACTCTGTCCTTAAGTGGTACCTTTGTTTTAAGGCTTTTGGTTTGTCACTATTCATTAAGGTTTAAGGAAGATTGACTCCCATTTACAATCTTTTTAGGAAGTCTGGCTGTGGCCTCAGGAAGGTCTCCTTATTCCTCTATTATATAGTTCTATAAAACCTTGTAGAGAAGTCAGGTCACCTGGCTGCAGGGGCTCTACAGCTGGAATTCAGATATGATCAGAAAGGTGTACTGTGGTGCGCCTACATTACTGTCTGTAGCTGCAGACCCTGTGAGTTAATGTAAGCTAATGTACAATGAGCTAATAGGCATAAGGACACAAAATGAGATCACTAAAAATTACTTTATTATTTGAATAATTACCTGTTATTTTGACTCTTAATGAAGTAATCTGATTTTGGACAAAAATTAATTAAACAGTAACAGCCTCTGCACAGCCTCTCAGAGATTCTAAACTACTTTATTGGAAACAGATAAACTAGGAAGCCTCATACAACCATCTAATCATGTAATGCATGTAGTTTTATGTAAACTGTGTTCCTTACACAAATCACAGAAAGGTGTGTAAATGTGCAGAGCGTACTGTGATCAGTCTCAGTGCTCAAAACTTTTTTTCTCACATAATATCATGTTTGGCTTTAATCTTGTTGTACAGATTATTTCCTTTAATGTAGCCAAGCCACCTCAACTTGCCTGTGTTTCAGATTCAGAAAGTATGAACTGACCTGTATGATTTTAACAAGTGCCTCACTCACCTTCTTGCTTTCAGGTTTGGCCAGACATGGTGGGTCAGAAAAAAGGCACTACAGAGAACATTGGTCCCACAATCCTGATGCTGAGGAACAGCAGCCATCGCTGGCTTCTACAGATTAAAGTCCTATATAGAATAATCCCAACCTAATGAAAATTAAAGAATATCATCAATTACTTAAAAAAACAACATTGATGCAATACATTGATAAGTTTATTTTGAATTGCTTAAAATAGCCACCCTGTCAAATATTTTTGCTAATGATCTATTGATAATGCTATTGATGATTTATGTTGCTAGTGATCATGATCACACATGTTTTTTCTGTGCTGTTTTCTGTTTTTGGAGCACTCAGACAGACCACAGATGTCTTCTGTCCCTCACCGATTTTCCTCACCAAGATTTCAACTGAAATAATTCAGAGAGACTATTTACAAAGCCTTGCTGGGTAGATGCCCTTCTTATCTGTGTAATTTGCAATCACATATTAACAGCTGCTATGACTCTTGCTGTTCTAGCAGGCTGCTCTTCAAAGTACCCAAGATTAGTTCAGAATTCGGTAGAAATGCTTTCTGCTATTTTGCACATTGGACATGGCATAACCTTCAGAACATACATCTCTATGATTTTGTCTCCTTGAGTTTAAAGCTGGATAAAAACTGTATAACTAAAGAGTGCAATTGCTACTCCTAAGCTGTTTTTGTGTTTTGTATTATGTATCTGTTGTTCTTCATCTGTTTTGATGATATTCTATTTAAATTGTCCTATGTCTGTTTTGTTGTGATTGATTTTATAATTCCTCTTACTGGAAACTGTGTGCTATCAGGTGTCCCTCAAAAAAGAGATTTTAATCTCAAGGGACTTCCAGGTTAAATAAAGGTTAAATAAAAATAAAATGTAAAAAAAAAAAAATATTATGTTAAAAGTCCCCACCTTAAACTTGATAAGTATAACGGAGGCGAGGAGGCGGGATGCAAGTGTGAGTCCAGAGATTTGTGTTGAGTAGCAGAAATTTGTAGTATAGACAAGTCTGTAATGAAACGAAACCTAACAACAAGATCAAAGAAAACAACATTCACAATGTAAGACAAGACGGCTGAACGAACAGGGGGCTATAAATACACTGAGGGGAAACAAGAAACACATGGAGCTACAGACAGGTGGAGCAGATAACAAGGGGGCAGGACCCGGGAGGAGACACAGGACCCGGGAGGAGGCACAGAGCAAAACAACAACAAAAGCACATGGCACAAGAAAACAAAAGACACATGGCTACAACAGAAGGGAAGAAACAGATGCACTCTGGAACAAGGAGGGAACTGTGACGATAAGGCAGCGTTATTGATATTGTAGGTGATAATTAAAATTGACCTACAGATGCAGTTTAGTAAAGGAAAACTCATTTGTGAACCTGTGTTTAAAGCAAGATTTTATTATATATATACTTGTTTACATTTAAACTAATTTTTATTTAAACCAAGTTACAAAAAAAAAGCAAACTGAAACTTTGCTTGTATTTCATGGCCACTCAGTTCTACCTGATGGAAACTGTTTGCCTTCAGTGTTTTGTGCTTATGATCATTTTAATAGACATCAGCGTCACTAATTAGTGACCTTCTATTAAAAGACTGGTTTACCAAGAGAGACACTGGAGTATTTTCACCTAAAGAGTTAATGAAGCAGAGCCTTGTTAGAAAAATGGTAATAGGACATCAAAGTCATAATTAATCTTTTAGTACTTTCACTTTCAATACTTAAGTACATTTGAAGGCAAATACTTTTGTACTTTTACTCAAGTGGAGATCTAAAGGGAGGAACTTCTACTTTTACTGTAGTAATATTTTACCTTGGGTATCTCTGCTTTAACTCAGGTACATGGTTTGTGTACTTCGTCCACCACTGGTAAATATTGATAAAGATCCGGTTTCTGTATTAACTAGTTTTTCAGGAGTTCTGATCATTCATGACTTCATCATTAACACTGATGTCACTGGTGTTGTATGAATATGGTGTAACACCAGTGACGGTGACTCCAGTGACATTCTGGTTAAAACTGAGGATTTTGTAAATTGGCTGACTCATTGTTGGTCAGATGACCTTGTGCGACTGTTTAAAATGAGTAATAAAATGATATTTTAAATAAAACCAGTCATTAAAGCACAGAACTCCAGTGACACAGTGAAGTTATGAGTTGCCTGATAAACAAAATTATTAATAAATTAATGAAATATAGTGAGCGAGTGTGACTTGCCTTCTCAGGCCTTGAGCTGCTTTCTCACTGATGAGCCTCGACCCAAAGAAGCAGTTTAGTAGAGCTGAAAATACTGTGTTAAAATGTAAAATCAAAATCTCTGTGACAAATGAACTTTTTAAATAATATACATATTTTTGAAATGTAGTAAAACATTAATGAAAAAGTAAACGTGAATCTATTTTATACAAATTCCTCAGTTAAACCTAAAATATTGTTTTATATTAAAAATGTTTTCTCAAATGTTAAAAATTGGTTTTGTGCTGAGTAGCAGTAATGCTAACCAATAAGCACTCAGTAGCAGTAATGCTAACCAATAAGCACTCAGTAGCAGTAATGCTAACCAATCACCACTCAGTAGCAGTAATGCTAACCAATCACCACTCAGTTGCAGTAATGCTAACCAGTCAGCACTCAGTAGCAGTAATGCTAACCAATCAGCACTCAGTAGCAGTAATGCTAACCAAACAGCACTCAGTAGCAGTAATGCTAACCAATCACCACTCAGTAGCAGTAATGCTAACCAATCAGCACTCAGTTGCAGTAATGCTAACCAGTCAGCTCTCAGTAGCAGTAATGCTAACCAAACAGCACTCAGTAGCAGTAATGCTAACCAATCAGCACTCAGTTGCAGTAATGCTAACCAGTCAGCACTCAGTAGCAGTAATGCTAACCAATCAGCACTCAGTAGCAGTAATGCCAATCAATCAGCACTCAGTAGCAGTAATGCCAACCAATCAGCACTCAGTAGCAGTAATGTTAGTGTCCTGCTGCCCAAAACCCGTTTACTGTAGAATAAAGGAAACATACAGGTGAGATTTCTCTGTTTTTTAGTGAAACTCATCCTCTACTGTCTAAAAACTAAAGGAAAGTTCTGAGTGATTAGAAACTATTTAACTTTCGTTTTTAGCTGTTTAGCTCCATTCACTCCCATTCACTGAGGACTCGCTCGCGGGCGCCCTCTGCTGTTCAGCTGTCCTGTTTTTGAGATAAGGGGGAAACAGGAAGTGAGAACTCATAAACCAACTTGGGCGTAAACAGGGGAGCGCCTATTAGATCTGTGTGCTTCTCAACACAGTAAAGAGAAAGTGAGATGATCCGGACCGCCATGCTTTCTTTTTCTTTTTCTTTTTCTGCTTTCTTTTTCTGTGTACGGCGAATCCAACCGTTACGACCGACCACCGTAATGGAGTTTAATCATATTTACTAGTAACTGTCTGGGATAAACAACCTCCCGATGAGCGCCCGAACGCAGTATTAGTCCCTCATCTGCACTGAGGACGAGACAGACACACCGAAGACGACGATGATCCATACAGGTTCAGTTTTAGCGCTGCTGGGTTTGAGTTTTCTTCTGTCTGATGTTGCTGGAGGTGAGTTTTCTCTCTTCACTCTGACTGAAGTTCCTCTCTGTCCTAAAGGCCGTTCAGCTCAGCTCAGTTCAGCTCAGCTCGGTTCAGTTCAGTTTAGTTTGTATTGAAATGTTTGTGGTCATTAAAGGCCTCAACTGGCAAATGTCCAGCTTTGATTAATCACCTAAATAAAGATTCTCCAGAGTACAGAAAGTGAAACACTGTGTGGAGTATAAACAGTAACATATGAACGAACAGCTGAACGGAAATGGAGGCCTTTAACAGAGAAAACGAAACTAATCTGAGGTTTTTGTTTTGGGGCGAGTGAAGTTCAGTAGAGCTGAGAAGGTCTGTAGATTGAGGAATGTGCGCTGCTGTAGAGAGATTAGTTCAGGAAATTCCAGTATGGAGAGGAAATGAAGAGGAAAAGCAGAAACTCGGAGTGTAGACAGTTTGTTCTGTATCTTATTCTGACTCTATACTGTTGAAATCGCCTCTGTTCTGAGTAGATAGTGCTCAGTCTGTCCTCTGCCACTCTCGGTCTATTAGATATCCCAGTTCAGTAAGAGTGCTGTATTCAGTACAGTACTAAGGTCCTCTCGGAGTGTAGAGTATTTGTTCTGTATCTTATTCTGACTCTGAAATCGTCTCTGTTCTGAGTAGATAGTGCTCAGTCTGTCTTCTGCCGCTCTCGGTCTTTAGATATCCCAGTTCATGCTGTGGTACAGTAAACCGTAGGAGTGCAGTATTCAGTACTGTACTGAGGTCCTTTCTGCGTTTCAGTAGTTATTGCGGTTTTCTGTACAGTGTTTTCCCTGCATTTATTTGAGGTTTTATGAAATCTAATTCCATAAAATATACATTAACTAATTATACTGATTATTAAATGTAATTAATATAAACAGTGTGTGCAGTGAATGAGGCTACCATGCGAAAAAAAAGCCTAGTAAAGTGAGGCAGGGGTGTGAAGCTGTGCAGCTGAAAGGGGTCTGCTAAGGTCAGGGGGCGGTCAGATTTAATGTCCAAACCCAGCTTAGATGGTCTTGCCAACCGATTTGATGGAAAAAAGCATATATGACAATGTCTCAGATGCATAGCTGACAAATGACAACAAAGTGATTTTATTACACAAACAGGAATACCGTGAGTGAACTTTATTTATAGAAACGTCTCACCATGGAAACAAATTTTATTATGGAAAATGTCAACTAAAACTAAAATGATCAGCAGTAGAGTTGTGTAAAATACAACCCAACTCCAAAAACAGCCTGAGTAGGATAACAGAAGGAGAAGATATTATATCACGATACCTCAAGACAGTTTCACAACACACAGTGTACATCACAGTATAATTTTTTACTGACTTTTACGAAGTAGTTACAAATTAGTGTGAAGGTACTAATATGCACCTTTTCTCTGGGAAAGAACACTTTAAAACTCATTTAAGGTACTCAGCCGGACCCCAGGACCACTGCTGTACCTTTATTTTAGAGTAGATTTAGATTTTATGTTCACAAAACTGATAGACTGACGTTATTTAACAGCAGGTGTTTCAACAAGAACATCTTCAGTTAGATACAGATGTGAAGGACCAAGTCTTTCAAATTAATTGTCATTTATTTATTTATTATTCATCACATCTGCCCCCCATCTGCACCACTCAAGTGACCAAGTTTGAGTACTGACATCACTGTTCAGATAATTGTTAGACTTCATCAGTGAAAGACGGAGAAAGAACGGCTAAGAATTCAGTAAAACAGGACTGTTTTGCTTGTATTTGTAAGTATGTTATGTTATACTTTGAATGTGTTACCATGGATACGTAGTTAAGGATGTGACTGAGAAGGCTGAGATGGCGCGGCGGTGTTGCTAACTACTGTAGCTCATGTTGGGTCAACAAACAATGAAAATGTATTTCCCTGGCATACTAACATAGACTATGTGGCCATAAGTATGTGGACAGCTGACTCTCACACCTATATAAGCTTTTTGGATGTCCGATTCTAAAACCATGTGCAGTAACATGGAGTTGCGCCCCTTTGCGGCTCTAAGAGCCTCCACTCTTCTGGGAAGCTTTCCACAAGATTTTGGAGTGTATCTGTGGGAATTTGTGTCCATTCAGTCAAAAGAGCATTTGTGAGGTCAAGCACTGATGTTCTGGCTCACAATCGATATTCCTGTTCACCTCACGTTAAGAGAGACTTGAAAGGAATCAGATCTTGATCAGGACATCTGTATTTTATATAATCGAGATAAATTATGATCCAGTTCAGGTGTTATTGGAATATAAAAAGTTAAAAGAATGAAGTTTTATTGTAGACTTAAAGGAATACCTTGATCTAAATTACTGTCGCTGTTTATTGTAGTGAAATCATTGTTTAATATCCAGTCTTTTTATTTCTCCACAGATGAACACTCTCTGTATTATCTCTACACTGTCCAGTCTAAAAGCTCTTCAGACAGAGTCTCTGAGTTCAGTGCAGTGACTCTGCTGGATGACAGACAGATTGACTCCTACAGCAGTACAGACGGGGTCAGGACTCCTAAACAGGACTGGATGAAGGAGATGAAGGAGAGTGAGTGGAAAGAAGGTGCTGATAAACTGAAGTACGATGGACACCAGTTAAACAAGATCCTCGACATACAAATGAAGGACTTCAGACACGATGAGTCAGGTGAGAAAGTACACAGCCGATACACAGCCATTTATAAAACATGGACATTGAGTCTGCCTGGATTAACATATTATTATTATTATTATTATTATTATTATTATTATTATCAATAATAATAATAATAATTAGTTATAGAGCACTTTTCATACTGGTGGCAGCTCAAAGTGCTTTACAGACAGGTGATAATGTTTTACAGCAATAGACAAGACAATGACAGATCAAAGGATTTTATCAGTCAAGCTCAGTTCACACATTAAAGAAACGTTTAAAAATGTATCTCTTGTTCTGTTTTACTGAAGGTGTTTGTAGAAGATCATTATCAACAGATCCAAGATCACATGCTGGAACATAAACAGACAGGCATTCTGTGATATAAGTGGTGCTTTAAGGTCATTTAGAGCTTAAAAACTAATAGCAGACCGTTAAAATCTATCCTGAGCGATACAGGCAGTCAGTGCAGCAGTGAAGCGGGACTGATCTGATCTCTCTGTGTTGTTTTTGTTAGGATGCTGCTGCGCTCTGTATGAGCTGTAAAGGATGTATAGTTTTCTTAGGAAGTCCAGTAAGAAGATCATTACAGTGAACAACTCTGACTGTAAGAAACACATGAAGTTTCTGTGCGTCGCTCTGAGAGAGAAAAGGCTGAAGTTCAGTGATTTTCTCAGATGATAAAAAGCTACTTTAGTGACTGTTTACAGAGCTCAGAGTCTAAGATCACACCCAGGTTTAGAACTGCAGGTTTGGTTTATGAAGTTAAAGAACATAAATCATTTTTCTCTGAGAGAAACTGAACATTTACAAACTCAGTAAACTGAATAACATGGGGGGGGGGTTCTCAGAAGAAACTTGGAGATGTTTAGGTTCTGGTCCAGCAGGGAAAAACACACACACTGTTAGCTCACTCACCTAACAACACTGCTCTCTCTGAGCTAGCCACCACCAAAAACACACATTCTTTCAAAATACAAGTCCTTAGCACGACCTAGAGAACACAGCCCAATGCTATTAGTTATTTTTTTATAACTAAATAGAACATGACATGCTTCACAGGCCTGGATCGTTAAGTTATGGGTTATACCTGGCTACCTTTTTTGAGTGGTCAGTGATTTTTTTTTTTTTTTTATATATATGATCTCACAGCAAGTTAAGTAAAGCCTATTCAGCACCACAATGGCAGCATATTACCCAGTGTTGGCACATCACCACTGTGAGCGCATTTTTTTCCAGATTGAGACAAAACAGTAGCAGAATCACTTCAATCGCATTAATGAGAACACATGTTAACATAAACCCAACAACCAATGAAACATTTCCCTATAAAGCACACATCCATTCTTGACAAGCAAAACACGAACCCCAATGAAGACGACATACATAACCATTAGATGAAAAACACACAAAGATAGAAGCAGCAAACTGTGAAGCTGCTTAGCTAAAGTTACTGCCACGGTATAAGAACCTGAAAGCTTGAGTGAGATAATGAAGAATAGTGTAATGGTTACTAAGCAGTGATTGGAGGTGAAACATATACTGAAAGACGTCAACAAACCACAGGCCATTCAAAAGCTTCACTGACAGAGCTGTGGACTGGGGTGTGTGTTTAATAAAGTTTGTAACGGATTACGTTTTTACTCAGGCTGGCTACAAGGCTACGAGGCTACGAGGCCAAGTCACTTGAACGTTGGCAATGAGGTCTTAAAGGCTTGCAGGGCTGAGCCTTCAAGCGCTGAGGCTAACTGCACTTGAATGCACAGACAGGGCAGCACTGATGTGCACTGAGGAAAGCGTGTCCTGATGTTATAAATCACTACTACCTCGTTTATTTTGGACAATTGTAAAAAATCACTTGTGTCTAATTTATTATTTATTATTATTTATTGTTGTTGCCTCTTAAAGTTTACTCATTTTATTTTAATGCCACTCGTTTCTGTTCCTTCTCTGTTGTTTTCAGTTCACGCTGTAAAGCACTCTGAGCTGCACTTTAAATATATGAAAGGTGCTACATTCTTAAAGTTTATTATTATTAATATGAATATGATCACTTCCTCGCCCTTTGAGTAGAGGGGTTAAAGGTGATGGTTATAAAGATTCCTCTGCTGTCCTGCTCATCACTGACACATCCAAACAGCACCAGAACCCTGATTAGTGTTGCCAGATTGAGTGTAATTATTAAATAGAACAATTTCAGAAACTTGTTGTTTATCATTAGGGCTGTATCTGTTAACCAAGTTACCATGGGAACAGCTTCCAGTGACAGTAACAGCTGATTTACAGCCAGTGTTATAAACATACCTGAGCCGATCAGTAAGAGCTTATTATTGGTGTGTTTAATGAGTGTAATGATAAAGTGATCATGTGATTAATGGAGAAGAGCAGATCACACAGCAGAAACAGCCTCGTATTATTGCTGTTTTTACGTCTGCATTACAGGGTTAATACTGCATATACTGAATTTAACACAGATCAGATCTACAAACACGACTGCTGAGCTGCACTGATTCAACACAGTTGGGGGGGGGCAGTGAAGTACGACCACAACCTTTACTGAACTGACCATATTATGATATTAAAACTCGACTCACACGATATCACTGTGTTTCTCCTGCGAGTTAGGAACTGTCTGAAAATGATTTTATATTATTATCATTGTTCTGCTTTTTATTATTTTTATTATTATTATTATTATTATTATTATTACTATTACTACTATTATTATTAGTCCATGTGTGTATAAACCATTTGTGGAAATAAAAAATAAAAGGTAAATCAAATGAAAACTAAGTGACAGAGACATGATGCTGATCCTTTCTTTGCTCATGTCTGTGAGATTATAGGCGTGTTCTGTAACACAGACAGATAATCTGTATCTGGCTTTGCTCACATGAATCACTCTTTATATTTCAGATGGTCACTCTCTGCAGTGGAGAGTCGGCTGTGAGGGTGAAAAACAATCTGACGGCTCAGTTTCAGGTTTAAACTGCATTAATGAATACGGCTACGATGGACAGAGTTTAATCTCCTATAACTGGACCTTGAAGAAATGGTCAGCCTTAGTCAGTCAAGATGGGATAACAGAGGAGTGGAACGCTGGACGCGGTCCAAACGCTGTTTATAATTGTGAAGAGTGTGAGCACTGGCTGAAGATTTATTTACAGTACAACACCACTGAAACCAAACAGAGTGAGTATTTAGAAACTGGCTATGATCAGATTAATAATTTAATTCTTACTTTTAGCAGATTAATAGAGGTAGTAGAGGTGTGATTATTATGTAGGTATTTTACAGACAGGTAAAAAAAACAGGTTGTACTTTTGTGTATTTTTTGTAGTCATGCACACTGAGTGAAGTGGTTAACATGGTATTGAAGGGCAATTCCACTGATTTTTCTAAATTTCTCCATGTATAGATGTAAATAAGGTCATTCAGAGTGTTTTGGTGTGAAATGGTTCAGATGTCTTTACAGTGGTGGTGATAGGAACCAGGCGTCGCCATGACTACAACACAAATATAGACACTTTCTTTACTATCCAGAACCATCAGTGATCCTAGAATCTAGAAGCATTAAACTCTTCAGACGACTGTGAACAGTTCTGACTCTGAGTTTCTCTAGAACAGAGCGTTTCACACCAAACCACTCTGAACGACTCTGTTTACATCCTCACTGTTTAATTATGCAGAAACTCTCTGTATCTATAATTCTACTGTAAGCAGCAAAGCTGCAGAGTTATGACACAAAATTATCACCAGAACTTGAATACATGAACAGTCACACATGTCTGTGTCAGAACATCTCACTGATTCTGAGTAAATGTTTCATTGTGCATTTGTTTTCTCTCCAGCTCGAGTGGATGTTTATATGTTTGTGAAGAAATCTGTAACTGACCTGAAGAAGCTGACCCTGACCTGCCTGGCCACGGGCTTCTACCCCAAAGACGTGGAGATTACACTGAGGAAGTTCACCACTTCACTGCCTGAACATCTACTAACATCTTCAGGAGTCAGACCCAATGATGATGGAACCTACCAGCTGAGGAAGAGTGTGGAGATCCAGGAGGACGATACAGCAGATTATTATTGTTATGTGACTCACAGCTCCCTCGGAGAGCCAGTGATAAAAAAATGGGGTAAGTATATATTATATCCGTGTCGATGTTCTGGCTGATTGTTCGCCAGTTTGAGGAGATTGTAGTGAAGTTATTGCAGTTATTAGTCTTTGTTTAACAGCAGTAAAATGGTAGATGTGCAGAAACCAAAAATCATCAAAAAATACATTTCGTGTGGTAAACGTCTGAACACTTGCTCAGTTTAATGTTACGGATCATCCTAGTCAGAGGTGAAACACATTTCAGACTTGCTGATTTTATTAAAACAAATAATTGAACATTCCATTTTGACTTTACCAATATAATAATAACACTACTGAAGGTTTATCAAATGTTTCAGTAGTGACCGTTTCAGGAATGACAATTTTAACTCATTTTGAGCAGAACACAAAAATGCCAGCCAGTACATGACCAACAAACACAGCTTTGAACAGCTGTTCACACAGAAAATCATCACATTTTTATTAAAACACAAAAAAGAGTTTACTCAAAGGGGAATTACGCTGATGTACACAGAGGGATTCAGAGTGGTTTTATTTACTATCTAGAACCACCAGTGAACCTACACGAGTCTTCTGAGTTTATATGGAATGTTTATGATAGAAAATAGTGGGAAATCTGAAATAGTACATTTTCTTTGGGGACTATTTTGCCTCACAACACATGTGCACATACCTTTGCACCATAAATGGATATTAGAAAATACATTTTAGACCAAATCTTCTCTGAACTATCGTAAAGTGCTGTGTGGTAGCTTGTAGAGGTGTAACGATGCACTCTACTCATGATTCGTTTTGCAATACTAAGTTCACGATTCGATTTTCTCGATTTTAAACACAATTTGAATGAAATGAAAATATTCTATTGTTGCTTCAGCATATATTAAATATCAAAGTGAAAACATTCCTTTTTTCTGAAGATTAACAGTTCAAATAATTTCTACTTTTCTTTTACAAAATATAACAAATTTATATTTAGTTTAAACAAAAAGAAACTTTACTCTCCTGCAATTAAAAGAACTTAGAAGGAAAAATGAAAATTGTGACACTGAATGACACTGTGGGGGCGGCACGGTGGCACAGTGGGTCGTGCTGTCGCCTCACAGCAAGAAGGGCCTGGGTTCGATTCCCGGCCGGGCGACCGGGGTCATCTCTATGTGGAGTCTGCATGTTCTCCCCGTGTCTGCGTGGGTTTCCTCTGGGTACTCCGGTTTCCTCCCACGGTCCAAAAACATGCAGTCAGGCTGATTGGATGTGCTAAATTGCCCCTAGGTGTGAATGTGTATGTCTGTCTGCAACCTGTCCAGGGTGTATCCTGCCTTCTGCCCAATGACAGCTGGGATAGGCTCCAGCACCCCACCGCGACCCAGAAGGATAAGCGGTTTAGATGATGGATGGATGGATGGATGACACTGTGGGGTTCTTTTTGTTGGACAACACAGTGGTGGCTGTTTTCAGAGGTTTCAGAAGTTTCACAATATCGTCAGCATCACTGATGCTGGAGCCGTCCAGAGTATAGATTTCACGGGCATTCACGGTCTATCATTATTGCCAACAAAAAACAGCCTCATGTCATTTGCAATAAAAACACCAACCGAGGCTAAGGACTGTGGCGTATGGGAGCATGATGTATGATGTGCTGGTGTGGGTAAAATCAACTGCACCCTCTGGTGTTCAAAAATGCAATTGCATTGGATGGCATAATAAACCAAACATACTTGTTATCGTCCATCTCCACGATGCACAGTCACATTTTTGCATCGTGATGTATTATATCACGATGTATCATTACACCCCTAGTACCTTGTACAGGCATTAAACACTTCAGACGTCTGGTTCCTATCACCACCACTGTGAACAGTTCTGACTCAGTAAGTTTCTCTAGAACAGAGCGTTTCACCCCAAACCACTCTGAACGACTCTGTTTACATCTTAACTATTTAATAATGCAGATATTTTTAACTGACAGTTCTTAATGTTCCACACTGATTTCCAGACTTTGGGACACATTTACTTCAAAACAATGCGATCTAACTGCTCACCATGTGGCCATGAGGGACAGGGATGCAGCCTCACTTCCTGCTCTAAAATGCAGGGGCGTGGCTAAAATTGGCCTGTGGACCAAAACTGTTTGTGTTTTTAGTGACATAAGTTTTTTATTTGAAAATTAAACTATTGATAAATCTAAATCTTTCAATTTCACTGTAAAAGAAATCAAAAATATTAAAAAAATGTAAAAGATGCAAAACAGATTAAGTATTAAGTGTACATTTAGTGTTTAGAGTTTGGAACTGACACCTCCCAATAGAAAGAACTGTATAAATGATGTTATATTTATTTAGCTTATTACTGTCTCTATTAAAGTATTGGGTTTAAATAGATCATAAGTTTGAACTGATTCTGTAGAATGGTCCATATTTGGAATTACTTCTAAAAAGGCCCCATTTCCTGTATCGATTAGTATTAGGAATCAACATTTTAGTCAGGTTTGATATCATTTGCATTATTTAAAGAACGATGTGTGCTGCTGTTGAAGGTTTTTTCTGAGAGTGTAAACTGAGCTTCAGTTGTTCATCAGCAGTTTTCAGCAGTGCTTCTTATGTGCTATAGCTGCACTCTGTACTGTCAGCTGTGCAGTGTTGAGAGTCTCATCCAGTGTGTGATAGTCTTTAGCTGGCTGCAGTAGTCTTTCTATACTTCTTTAGAACCTCTTAGAACCTCTGACCAAAATGTTACACACAGGCTCTACAGTGCCCTCTGGTGGAGTTATTCAATATGTGAGTGATAGATTGTGAATGATTGTTTATCAGAAATCCTGATGTTATTTTATTTTTTTACACTTTCATGACTGTTACATTTTTTTTAAACTGGACTCATTCTTACTTATGACCTGTTTTCAAAAAGGAGTCAAATATAAACAACATAAATAATCAAACATCAACACTTGAAATAAAATAATAGAGGTGCTGTAGGCTTACAGTAGGTCTTCTGTTAGATTACACTGGATCCTGAGCTCTTATGGTGGAATGGTGGAAGTTCAATAGAGATGCAGCACCCAAACTTAAACAGTCTCTGCCTGTGACCATCACTGGCACAAAACCGGGGAATTTGGAGGTTCATTTGAAGGCATCTGTCTCCTCGGGTTGAAGCTTTTCTAGAACATCAGGGGAATTTCAGTAGCTTAAAGCAGTGAGTTATAAAATAATTGTTCTCTGCAGATGATGGTAGAAGAACATTAGAACATTAGAACATTCTGCTGTCAGCACTTTTAAATTAGTGATTGTTTTTGTCTACAGCATGCAGCGACTGCCAGAATGGTCCAGGAGGGGGAGTGATTGTAGGAGTGATTGTAGGAGTGACATTTGCTCTGGTGTTGATCGGAACAGCTGTTCAGATTTTCTGTTTGTAGACCTGGTGAGTATAGACTGTATAAATACAGGTTCTGTTTACAGTGGAAACATGAACAGTTTTTAAAAACACTGTCATGTACTCTGCCTAGATATGTTCTCCAGAGTTTTACTAGATCAGTGCTGTCACTGATGTTTCCAGCTGTTCTTCAACTCAGTGTGTGACATTAGTTGCAGCTTTAGAGGTGAAATTATCAGAACTGAATCTGATCTCTTACATGTGTGGACAGCAGTGGAAAACTTTATAATAACCAGAACCGTAAAGACCCTCCCTTTAGAATTTCACATCAGCCGGTCAGTTCTTAGAGACGGTGTTCTAACAGTCTCTAGAACCCACAGAGCGGCCCTGCTGTGCGTGCACACGTCATTAGTGTAGAATAGTCACTTAATATTTATAATGTTTTACTGTGTTTCAGTGTTAATTCAGCCTTATTTCAAGCATGTTATTTAGAGCTACAACAATTATTTGATACAATTTGATAATTAAAATATTCAAAAGCTCTTTTTGAATTACAGAGACTTACAGATCGGTAGTGTGAGATGCTTTCTATTTAAATGTGTTAGGATTCTCTACGTCCAGCTGACTCGTATGACCATCTGCAGAGATTCTGCCTGTGACCTTTACTCTTTTTAAACAGATCCAGGTTAAATAACATACATTTTTTAATCTTTAATTCAAGAACGTGAAAGAGAGCAACGTGAGTCTGGAGGTGAGTGTTACTGTTCCCCCTACCTCAGAGAACTGCTGACCTCTTACACTCCCTCTCGCTCTCTCAGGTCTTCTTGTAATAACTTACTTGCTGTCCCAGCACCAGACTTTCCACTTTGGGAGGGAGGTCCTTCAGTGCCATGGCCCCCAAACTCTGGAATTTTCTTCCTCAATCCCTCAGGGACTGCTCTTCTTTCTCCTCCTTCAAATCTGACTTGAAGACTTTTCTCTTTAATCAGCATTTTTCTCCCTCGTCCACTGCTTAGGATTTTTTTTTCTTTTTTTTTTATTATTATTATTTTTTTTTGGTTTGTTTGTTTGCCCATGCTATGTAAAGCGACCTTGGGTTTGTGAAAGGCGCTATATAAATGTAACTTCTTCTTCTTCTTCTTCTTCTTCTTATTATTATTATTATTATGATTACTGTTATTTCACACTTCTGATCATCGTGTTTGGTGATACAGATTCAGTTTGAGGTTCAGTTGTACAGATTCGATTTTTATTTATTTTATTGAGTTCCTAATTTTAATTCTGGCACAAAATCCTTGTATTTCAGTTTATTTATTAATCTAATATGTTCTTCAGGTTCTTACTCACAATTTCAGAAATTTCAGCCACACAGGAAGGTCTTTTAAATTTGGGATACTGAAATTTTAAGCAGCGTTTGTGTGACGTGAACGATGACATCATGCAAAATGATTCACCTTTTTATTTTGATTTTTTTGCTGATTTCATCAAACTGAGCGTTTTGTGACCTGCTGTATTGTGGACGACAGTTTATCATAACTGACACGTTAAACTGCTGATACTGATTTCTCTGCTCTCTCTCCTTCTGAATGAACTTTATGCAAATGAGCTGAGCGGCGACCAATCAGATTGTTGATGAGTTGTGGTAAAGATTGTGTCACACAGTCACACACTGAGGTTCAGCTCTCGAATAGAGAGACAATGGTTAATAAAAACTAATGTATTCACAGCGCTGGACATTATTACATGTTTAAAAACAGGATTCGGCTGCTTTGTTGATCAGAACTGCCCACAGCTCTGACCACACTTCCCTCTTTAACCTCAACCTGGGAGTGTTTTAGTGACGCCCCCAAAGCGGCCAGCAGGTCAGGGAAGTGATTCGGCTCTTAAACAGTGAACGGCTACTGCAGGGGTTGAAAATATATGGATAAAACATAAAAACTCAAACTCTAAAACAAACAAACTGAACTTTACTGCGTTCAGATTCATTTACAGATCAGATCTGTTTTAATTTAAGGAGTTTCAGTTAAAGGATCCTGAAATCTCAGCACACAGCATTTTTACTGTGATTTTCTTCAAATTAATAGAAATATTACAATTCATTGGTTGAATCAGTGCTGTGTGTTCAGTGTATGATCTTCTCCAGACTCTTCTTTACCTGTTTTAATCTGTATTTAACTGAACTCTCCTCCAGGGTCTACAGCTGGTGGTCCTGAGGCTGGATCAGGTAATAATATTCCACATTAACAATATTGATTAATTTAATCTTTGTCATTAATGAATGTCTGTTCAGTGTGACTGTAGCTGATTCTTTATTAGGAAAGAGAATTACTGGAAGATCAAACAGCACTGAAACATCTAACTCTGCTGCTTCATCTGGATAAAATGTGTTTATCTTCTGTGGATTGTAGGGTTTAATGAGACGTAACTGTCTGTAGTGTTTGATGTGTAAAAGTCACTGTGTGAGGATCAGTGAATGAATCTTCATGAATCTTCAGCCCAGTTTAAATTCGGCTGTGTGTCTGATTCCTGTAGAGAAATCTAAACTCAAACAGCACCTCTGTTAAGACAGACAGCTGAGTTCAGCACACGCTGTGGTACAAACCAGTTCAAATGTGTTAGGATTCTCTACGTCCAGCTGACTCATATGAACGTCTGCAGAGATTCTGACTGTGACTTTTACTCTTTATGAAATAGATCCAGTTTGTTAATGTATAGTTTGGTTTTGGATTATAAATACATTGTTACTATTTATTTCATCATCAAACTGTATCTTAAATAGCAATAAGTAGTTGATCACTGCGATTCACGTTGTCAGTAGTTGGGCTTTATAATGTTACTTTCATTATTGTGTCAAAAATATATAAACAAATTATTTCTACAGGAAAAAAATAAATAATTTATTTAATTAATTTAAATAATATACTGTTTTATGTCTAAATCAAGGAGGTGCAGGAGACGTACAAGCTGAGCATCTTCAGATGGTGAGTGTTACTGTCATTTCCCACTCGTGATCATCGTGTTTGGTGATACAGGTTCAGTTTGAGGGTCAGTTTTACAGATTAGATTGTCTTTCTTATCCCCACACTGTGAATTTCTCCTTTCTCCTGGACATTATTCTGTGTTTGAGTGTAAAGACAGAGTTTGGGTGCTTTGTTGATCAGAACTGCCCACAGCTCTGACCACACTTCCCTCTTTAACCTCAGCCTGGGAGTGTTTTAGTGACGCCCCCAAAGCGGTCAGCAGGTCAGGGAAGTGATTCAGCTCTTAAACAGTGAACGGCTACTGCAGGGGTTGAAAATATATGGATAAAATATAAAAACTCAAACTCTAAAACAAACACACTGAACTTTACTGCGTTCAGATTCATTTACAGTTCAGATCTGTTTTAATTTAAGGAGTTTCAGTTTAAGGATCAGCACTGCAAAATACACACAGGCTACAATGAAAATGTGGTCACAACTGAAAAACACACGAAACTATCTGGACGTCACCTACAAGAGTGAGAGCAGCGTGGGCCTGGTTTAGATCTGAAATGAGAGCTAACAAAGATAAACAGATCAGTTATGATGTAAAGCTGGGTTTATTGGTGTCACACTGACATTGTCTTATTTTCATGTTAACTTGTTTCTGGGAGCAGGTGGACGGACAGACAGTGGACACACAGACACTGATTGTAAAGAAGATGTGGACCTTGTTCTGTTCTGTCTCGACTCACTGGACACTGAAATACCAAGATAAGTATCACACAGAGGATCAAACTCTCCAAAGGGCCCCAATTTTGCTTGTTGACTCTCAATGCAAACTGAAACTGTTTAGTATGATTAGCAGTGAAGCTGCTGATGGATTCTCAAGAAAAACACTGTAGCTGAAGGGATGCAGCTCCAGCAGTGACCTCAGAGACATTGGTGGTCACTTTTCTCGAGACAGAGAACTCAAGATTAAACACCCTGCAGATCTTCTGTGAAAGTCACAGGATTATTATAAACTCTTGATAATGTTGAGGAGGAATAAACTGTTTCATGGGGAAATCTGACAGCTGGTCGGATAAACACTCAAAGTCTGAGACTGAAGGATTTCACATGGGAACAGCTGGATGGATGTACAGTGGATTCGAGGCACTGAGTGTCTGAAAAGAAGATGTGGACCTTATTCTGACCTCTCTTGGCCCACTGGACGCTGAAATGCCAGTGTAAGGATGACACAGAAGAGCGTACTTTACAAAAGGCCTCAGTTACGCTTTTTATGACCAGTCAAAACTGTTTGGTATGAGTAGCGATGAAGCCACTGATGGATTTTTAAAAGACACTGTAGCTGAATGGATGCAGCTCCAGCAGTGACTTCAAACACAGAGGAGGATATTATTCTGGAGACAGTCAGAGAACTTAGTGCAGATACGGGGCTAATGCTGCGTTCGGGCGCTCATCAGAAGGTTGTTTATCCCAGATAGTTACTAGTAAATACGATTAAACTCCGTTCTGGTGCTCAATCATAACGGTTAGCTTCGCCCCATATACAGAAAAAGAAAGAAAGAAAGAAAGCAGAAAAAGAAAAAGAAAGCATGGCGGTCCGGAGAATCTTACTTTCTCTTTACTGTGTTAAGAAGCACACAGATCTAATAGAAGCACATCTGGGGTCGTGTTACAGAAACGTCTTACATCTGTAATCTGATCCGTTTGGTCTCCATGACGACGTCAGTAGGGACTGAATTTAGTTCAGTAGCTATTCCAGAATAACAGCTCCTAACTTCATAATCTCATCATGAACTCCAGATAAGAAATCAGCATCACACAGACATCCTAACTAGACTAAACCTCCTAAATCCTGTCCTAACTTTAGGATGAACCCCAAGTGCAGCGTTTTACTGGCTTTATCAGCTGTTCGAGCGCAATGTCCACGTTTTAAACACCACTCGAACGCAGCATAAACTCAGCCTCAGGACGCTGCTGATCCATCAGGAACATTCTGTGGTTCTTTCTCCACAGAGATGATCCACAAATTGGAGACAGAAGCTTCATTTGTGGCTTCAGCAACTGAAAAACGTATAAAATAAGATGACGACAAAGCGACCTAAGGAACCCTCCTGTACTGGATTCAGTGGTTTTGTGGAGTTAATTTTGTGACAAAAGTTGCACATAAATAATAAAATCCACAAGCAAAATATTAAGAATCAGAATGTCAGAAATATGGTGCACATAGAGTTAAATCAAACTTTTACAGAAGATCACTACTCATTTTCACTCATTCTGATATGAATTTATTACTCGTTTTGCCAATTTTTACTTTCGTTTTTTTCTGTTTGTTGATCTCACTGATACATTTTTTTCTTCTGGAATCGTTCTTTTTCTGACACTGAGGGATTCTGGGGTAGAAACAACAAAAGACTGAACAGCCGCCATAAACCCAGAACTCACAGCCAACCAGGACAAGATGACTTGATTCCTTTTGTAGTGATTAAACATTACTGTCCATCCACTG